TTTTTTTTTTTTTTTTTTTTTTTTTTTTTTTTCAAATAAAGAAACTGATTGTGAGATCCCACATCGGTTGGGGAGGAGAACGAAACATTTCTTATAAGAGTGTGGAAACCTCTCCCTACATACGCGTTTTAAAAATCTTAAGGAGAAGTCCGAAAGGAAAAGTCTAAAGAAGATAAAATCTGCTAGTAGTGGGCTTGGACCGTTACATAAAAAATTGATTTATCAAAAGTCTTCTTGCTAATAGCGAAGGAATTCTTGAAGCTTTCTGGTTTTTCCTACCAAATTGCCCACAACACCACACGGACCATAAAACTCCCAGAAAAATTTTCTTTTATCTGTAAGTTCAAACCTAATGTACCTTCGACACGAGAGTCTTTGTTTAAGCATAAGCAAAGCGTCCTTTTGAATTTTTTTTTTTTTTTAATGGTAAAAAAATTGTTTCCTTTGACTTGCACACACTTGGGATTTGGAACACCACTCAGCCAAATGGGCTGGCAGTCCCAGATGCCTGCATGAATTATGTTAGATCTACTAGTGATGTCCTGGATTTGATGAAGATTGGATTGGCAAACAGGACAGTTGGAGCCACAGCCCTGAATGAAAGAAGCAGCAGATCTCATAGGTAGTATTCTAACCATGTTTCACTTGTCATTCAATTTCATACTTGGAGAATACATTTCATATACTTACTGATGCTGTGCAGTGTGCTGACGATTCACGTTCGTGGTGTGGACTTGGAGACAGATGCTATCTTGCGTGGTAGTCTTCATCTAATAGATCTTGCCGGTAGTGAAAGGGTGGACCGCTCAGAGGCAACCGGAGATAGGCTGAAGGAGGCGCAACATATAAATAAATCATTATCGGCTCTCGGGGACGTAATTTTTGCTCTTGCACAGAAGAATTCGCATGTTCCTTACAGAAATAGCAAACTAACCCAAGTTCTCCAAAGTTCTTTAGGTGCTTCCTTGTTTTTGTATTTGATTGGACCTTTATTATTCTATTTTCTGATGATACCTAGTTAATCACAATTTTGCTTTATTTGAACCTCTAGGTGGTCAAGCGAAAACGCTCATGTTTGTACAGATTAATCCCGATGCAGAGTCCTACTCTGAAACCATAAGCACCTTGAAGTTTGCAGAAAGAGTTTCCGGTGTGGAGTTGGGTGCTGCTCGCAGCAATAAAGAGGGTAGATATGTTAGAGAACTGATGGATCAGGTCGGGACGAGTTCTCTTCACTATTTGATTTCTTTTATCAAGCAGTTTTTGAGTGATTGAACTTCATGAGATGTTGATATTGCAGGTGGCAGTTCTCAAGGATACCATTGCAAGTAAAGATGAGGATATTGAGCGGTTGCAGTTGCTTAAAACTAATAGCAATGGCGTAAAGCATGGTGTTAGTTCCCTAAGATATGAATCATTTTCCCCTAGAAAGCACTCTAGCGTAACGCCTCGGCCAAGCCAAAAGCCATCAGGGAGAAGGGGCTTAGGGTTGATTAGTAAAGCAACATCTGACCACGACAACTTCTCCGATTGTGATAGGCGTTCTGAATGTGGATCATATCAATCTACGGATGACTTCAGACATCATAATCGTTCTGGATCAGGATCAACGCATCTGTCTGTAGAGGATTTTAGACATCATAAGCGTTCTGGATCAGGATCGACGCATCTGTCTGTAGAGGACTTGAGACAACAGAAGGAATTTTCTTCACAATCAAGAGCTTTAGGTCAGAATGTTACTGATGATGTTGAGCTTTTAGGCTTTGGGAATGCTGATTCTGATGAGAGATTAAGTGACATATCAGATGGCGGCCTTTCGATGGGGACCGAAACTGATGGATCGCTTTGCAGTGTTGTGGAATACACTTTATTCCCTGAAGTCCCAAAGCCATCAGATGGTTCGTTTGCCGATACCAAACACCCGGAGAGCTCGTCGGATGTAAAAAGTCTAGCTGAGAGTGCAACAACTGGGGGGAAGTCTTTGGTTCCTATTCCAGAAAAGTAAGTAATTACTATTCCCTCTTAGAATATTTCTGATAGACTTGAGGTTCAGATTACTCTCTTAATTTCATTCGTAAATTTAATTGACGAACTCCGCTAGGTCCAGCTGCTATAAGACTATGACCCTTTATCTTTTCCTGGAACCGGAACGTCGAGAGCCTCACGTCACTTATGGTTCACCCTACTAATCTTTGCTCCCTGTTTGCTCCCTGTTTTATGCAGAACCAATGCACCGTTGAAGACAGGCCTCAGGCCCCCACAAAGGCCCGTGCAAGCGAAACCGTCGAGAGTTTCACTGACGAAAAGCTTCTCAAAGGCTCCATCAGCATCAAGTATGAAAATCTAAGTACTGTTGTTTTTACTCCAATGATTTCCATATTATTTACCTCATGTTCTTTTCTTAACTTTTGATAAGATGCCAAACTTTTCATTGATAAAATGAAAAGTACAAAAGGAGATCAAAGGAGAATACCAAAAAGCTCTCCCTCTGCTGTTAATAACAAAAGAATTATAACTACAAAAGAGAGTGGATATAGTGCACCATCTTGAGGTATTAAATGATTATTTGCATTATGCCATTATTCAGCTCTTCAGCTCTTAAATTATTTTGGTTAAACTATAATTTTTGCCATTTTAGTTTGCCACTTCTAACATTTTAGTCGTTTTACTCCTCAATCTAGAACATAGAACACGACCATAATTTAATCAACTCAATGTTAGCTCAGCTTTTATATGATGTAGCCATCGTCATATTGACTTTATATGACATCATGTCACTTAATGTTACTATATAACTAGATCATTGATGTTACTTAATGTTACTATATAACTAGATCATTGATGTTGCATAACGACCATGTAGCTTTACATGACGTCATGTCACTTAATGTTACTATATTACTAGATCATTGATGTTTCGTAGCAACTAGTTTAGCTTTACATGACGTCATGTCACTTCATGTTACTATATAACTAGATCATTGATGTTTCGTAGCGACTAGTTTAGCTTTACATGACGTCATGACAATTCATGTTACTATATTACTAGATCATTGACATTTCGTAGCGACTAGTTTATCTTTACATGACATCATTGTTACTATATAGCTAAATCATTGACGTTTTGTAGCGACTAGTTTAGCTTTACATGACGTCATGTCACTTCATGTTACCATATAACTAGATCATTGACGTTTCGTAGCAACTAGTTTAGCTTTACATAACGTCATGTCACTTCATGTTACTATATAACTAGATCATCGACGTTTCGTAATGATTAGTTTAGCTTCGCATGACGTCATGTCACTTCATGTTACTATTCAACTAGATCATTAACGTTTCGTAGCGACTAGTTTAGCTTTACATGACGTCATGTCACTTCATGTTACTATATAACTAGATCATTGATGTATCATAGCGACTAGTTTAGCTTTACATGACGTCATGTCACTTCATGTTACTATATAACTAGATCATTGATGTATCATAGCGACTAGTTTAGCTTATTTTTTTTCCTTGTCACGCTCTCCGTGCTCATTTCCCGTCTGTTTTGGTGCAAATCAGGTACGAAAAATCTATTGTTGGTAGCTCCTCGTCGATGAAATGCAGCAAAAGGTGGAAGCAAATGAATCTAGAAGTAATCTGGACAGATAAATTCTTAAGAGTCTAATCATTATGTTATGTAGTTCTTGGTTGCAGGTTAACTTCACGCCTAGTTTCTGGCTCATCTCATAGGTTGCCTTTTGCCTTTCTAATTGGAACTCCATAATTTCTTCCTTTTGTTGTACATTTGTGTGCCAACAGGTTAGCTTTTCGTTAAATACATGTTCATTTTGAACCCTAAACCATCTCTTTTCTCTCTCTCTACCTATATTTTCCTTCTTTGTGTAATATTTACTCGTACATTCTTTGTAGAGGAAGGCTAACTAGAGGAAGGCTAACTACTTGCTGGCTCGGAGCTGTATGAACGATAACATCCATGTATGATTTTTATCATTTTATATGTATGAACAATTAATTTGCTCTTTTTTGGTCGTTGGTAATCTTCTTATTGACCACCATTAAAGATCTAATAGTTATTTATTCTTTTTACAAAAAAAAGAAAATTTTACTTTAATCTCTCTTCACATTCTTAGGTTAAAGTTTTGGTCATTTTACTCTAAAGCTGATTCTATTTTAATTTATAATTCAATAAAGCCGTACAAATTAATAAGAACTTTTAAACAATTTTTTAATTTTCTTTCGAAATGCCAAACGCAAAATGTAATGCTAATAAAATAGATTATGAGTTTTGATGAATTCCTACGAAGTAAAACGCTAATTAAGTATGCCTTCTACAATAAATTGAACTATAAAATGTATATTTCAAAATGATAATTGTCCGTAATTTATAATGTCTCGGTGGTATTGCTGCTTGTCACGCTAGCCTCATACATTAGAAGTCTTGTGAAGTCCTGAGTTTGAATCGAAGGCTCAATAAATTTTAAAATTGGTATGGAAAATAGACGAATTGTCATTGTATTTGGGTGGTATAGTTAGTTATCACACTAGTCTTGCACACTTGGGCCCACACATTTCATAAATTTGTTCAAAGCACTAATTTAGACTATCAAAGCACTAATTTAGACTATCACTGTGTATTGGGTGGTGTAATTGGTTATTATGCTAGTCTCACACACTAGAGGTCCCCAGTGCTCAGACTTTTATAAATTTCTATTTTTACATAGGAGCCTCTGTTTGACTTCGAAACACTAATTTAGATTGTCATTGTGTCTGGGTGGTGTAGTTGGTTATCACGCTAGTCTTACACACTAGAGGTCCTCAGTTCAAACCTAGGCTCAGATATTTTATAAATTTCTATTTTTACATAGGAGTCTCTGTTCGACTTCGAAACACTAATTTAGATTATCATTGTGTCTGGGTGGTGTAGTTGGTTATCACGCTAGTCTCACACACTAGAGGTCCTCAGTTCAAACCTGGGCTCAGACATTTTATAAATTTCTATTTTTACATACGAGCCTCTGTTCGACTTCGAAACACTAATTTAGACTGTTATTGTGTCTGGGTGGTGTAGTTGGTTATCACGCTAGTCTCACACACTAGAGGTCCCCAGTTCAAACCTGGGCTCAGACATTTTATAAATTTCTATTTTTACATAGGAGCCTTCTTTCGACTACGAAACACTAATTTAGACTGTCGTTGTGTTTGGGTGGTGTAGTTGGTTATCAGTTGGTTATCACGCTAGTCTTACACACTAGAGGTCCCCAGTTCAAACCTGGGCTCAGACATTTTATAAATTTCTATTTTTACGTAGGAGTCTCTGTTCGACTTCGAAACACTAATTTAGACTATCATTGTGTCTGGGTGGTGTAGTTGGTTATCACGCTAGTCTCACACACTAGAGGTCCTCAGCCCAAACTTGGGCTTAGACATTTTATAAATTTCTATTTTTACATAGAAGCCTCCGTTCAACTTCGAAACACTAATTTAGACTGTCATCTGGGTGGTGTAGTTGGTTAGAAGGCTTTATTTCATCTCACAGATTTAGGCCAAGACGACAATCTTTTCACCAAAGATGACGTTTTTCAAAGGCAAAGAACCCGAACAACCTGCTCGTTATTCAACGTTTCAAAGAACAGAGCTGATATCTAACAGCAGATTGAAGACGAAACTTCATGAAAATATATATTTCTACTGATATCAAGCCTTCATTTTCTCTCTTAACAATATAATGTACAAAAAGTTCAATGTGAAGAACAATTGGTTACACATCTCCCTACCACATTACAATATGGACAATTAACTATCAAGTTATTCAAAAGGATTTGGTTTTTTGAAGAATAATAAATAAAAGGGTCCTCACACCCGCTATCACAAACTCTCCCCTACTACCCATTTCAGCTTCTCTAAGTAACCTCTTGCTCTGTTCTACAAAAGAATTCAAATGCGCCCGACTCCGAGAACCCGTGCGGTTGCTGAGAACGTTCCTTGTACAATTTCTTCCATTCAAGCTTTATCAAGCAGCACCATAACTCGAATCAACGAGAAACCATCTAAAGAAGCCATAATATCTGTACTGATCAAGTTGGTATTTATCCTACACTCTAGCAATCGGAGAAAACGGAGGATTGAACAAATACGACGACGGTGTTTCTTTCAATGTTCTCGTTTCTTTTTTCTTCTCCTCCATCGTGACTGCGTCGATCAAGAACTTTACTTCCTCCTCAAGAAGCACCTTTAAAGAATTGCAAGGCTGCAACTCTTTTGTTTCCTCCACCTGGACAGCATTGCAAGCTTCAGTCGCATGTAAAATAGCAACACAAATGGAGAACGCTTGCAACGTCGATAATCGCGCGTGAAAATCGACAGCGTAGTGTCCATCTTTAACAACATTCATAGTCAATGCCGGAGTCGTATCCTTTACTCCCTGTATCCACATAGAAAAGCAAATACTACAATGAGAAGCTTTCATAATATGATTGTTACCCAAATTTTGGTATGAAGCATCAGTCCAGAATTGTATTATATAGAACGAATAGAAAGCTTACCTGATGAAAAAGCTCAAAGGTTTGTTTCCCCTTGTGTGCTTGATTTTCAACACTGTGGGTGCCCAAAACTAATAGAGGACAGCCCATGTCCCAACCACCACAGTCACACCCGCCTCCCAATCTCCATCGATCAAGTAACGGAGAAGGGCCATGGCTTTCGACAGTAGGCAAACCATGGTTTCCAATGGGAATGACCACCTTCAGAGTTTCTCGAGTTGTGTGATGGGGAGGTTCGTCTTTCCTTTGTTCAATCTTAGAGAGGTTTTGGACGGCTGAGATCAATTTGCTGCTTGGCTTATCACCTCTTTTTCTAAATGGGATTTGCATAACAATAGCTGCAGCTTCCAGGTCTGGATGTAAATCTGCTGAATCCCAAGGGCAAGAATCAATAGAACCATAATCACAGTTTTCAGAAGCTTGTTTTTGCTGAAATTTTGGTTTTTCTAAGGTCCCATCGTTCATACTAAAAGCTTCCTCAACCAAGGCTGAATTAGAACTTTTAGGAGGTTTGACAGCGTCGTGGATAAAGTCGCAACTTCCCTGTGATGCTGTACTTTTTCTAGCACGCCCCGTTTCGTACAGAACGAATTCTGTGACCATCGAGTTGTCAAAACCACCATCTCGAAGTTCGGAGGATAAATAACAGGAAACTTGCATCTGACCCACCATTAAGGAGTTTTTGCAGCTATGATTCAATCCAAAATTACTTGCATTGCTCTTCTTTTGATGATCTTGGGTATGAAATGTGTATACCCATTTAAAAGCATCGTCTGTCTTCCACGTCTTGGCTACGTAGACATCTTCGGGAGAGCTCTGAGAGAACTCAAAAAATGGCATCCCATGTTTTCTTTCCAACTTGAGAGAGCCATGTAAATGTACGGGCGAAGATGCAACAACATTATGGCGATTATCATTATTCGAAAAATCGGATTCACAATCTGAACTCTTCGCCTTTCTGTGTGTCTCGTTTCTCTGCAAGTCAATTGTCTTGACAGCTTTATCTCCATCAGCTTCTATTGCATGACTGAAACGACTTCTAACAGATTTAGACTTCATAAATGGATCCAACATTTTCCTGAAAGGGCTTGTACGAACCTTTTGGCCGTGTCTAAACCGTAGATCACTCTCCAACGGAAGCTGGTTTTTAGGCATTTCTACCTTAGCAGAGAGCGACTTCTGCAATGCGTAAACCTTGTCTCTCTTGAAAAGTTTCTTGCCATTGTGAAGAGGTCTAATGCCTGTAACATTTCCGAGCTGATTGCTTGAATCTTTCGATAGAGCTTCACTGTTCTCGGAACCTAAGTAGATCTCAAGGAAGCTATCCGATGAACGTGGGCGTATGCAAGCCTTACTAACTGATGATTGATTCAGTTTTGTGTTCAAAGATAATACATTATCTCTCCTCTCTAGTTTTTCCTCATCTGAACTACACAAAGAATCAACAATACCAGAAGACAAAGAGATCTTATTGTCATGAGAAATTTCTATCTTTCTCCTTTCTCCTTGAATGCTCATCCTTTCTATACTACCTACATCTTCATAGCTTTGGTACTTCGAACCCCGTTTGAGCGCTTTATCATCTTCCAATTCATCTAGGCAAGGTGAATCGCCTTTACGGGAACTTCGGTCGCCGCCAAATCTAATCTCTGTGAAATCATCCTTTACATTCAATTCAAAACCTATATGCTCATTATCTTCTAGTTCAAGTAGGCTAGATGAATTGCTTTTTCGAGACCTACGGCTGCCACCAAATCTAATCTCAGTAAAATCATCCTTCACACTCATTACGAAATCTTTATGCTTGTGTTTTTTTCTTGAGCTTCTAGTCTTAATGCTGGAATGTCGTGGGATCGATGGTAGAACTGTGTTAGGACTCAGATCCACAGAGCAAATACTGTCAAAGTCCAATTCTGTATCTTGCCCCATTGTATGATCCACAGCTCTGCCATAAGAAAGACACCAAGTTTTGAGCAGAATTCTAAGATATTTGACTACGGAACAGTTCTAGCTACAAAAAGGGCAAGGAAAAAACAATGTAACTCAACATAGTTCATAAGCTATGGAACAAGGTATTGATGTTTTCGTTTGAATCAAACGAAAATAAAATGGTCTACTTAACAGTTTCTTTAAAAAAACTCGCAGATTTGAACACTAAAATTGAACAAAGACAGACCAAAGCACAGAAACCAGATCTTAACAATAGCTCAAATTGAACAAAAAGAAGCAGCCCAGGATCTATGAACTCCAACCTTGCAACAATCCAGTTTGAAAAAAGGCAAACTCCCCATCAAAAATCAGTTTAGACAGAAGAAAAAGAAATTGATTCAGGAAACTGAGATCTTCTGCCCTAAAACACAGAGAAGTAGCAGAGAAAAATCAAAATGTGAGCAAAGGGAGCAAAAGACATTTCATCAAACACATTGCAGGCAACATTTCAAGAAACCCCAAAACAAGGAACAGAAGAATTCAAGCGAAATTTTGGGCTTACCCTACCAGATCTTAGAACAACTAAGGCAAATAAAAACCCAACAAACAGCAGCAAGGAGAAGCAATCATGTCGACGAATCTCTTCAACTGAAAGCTACGAAAGAATCCATGGCAGAAGGGGGGAAACCCCAAATTAAGAAACGATGAATCTGTCACTAACTAAATGAGAAAGAATCAAGGAAAGTTGAAGGGTGAAAGCAAAAAAATGATCAGAAGAACTTGAGCAATAGCCTTAAAGCATAATGAGCACAAGGGTATTGTCTTTGAGAGAGAGTGCAACGCAAGGCAAATGCTAGAGAGATAAAACATGCGCCATAGACAGAGTGAAAATGAAAGGAAGAGAGAGAATCTCTCTCTCTCTCTCTCACACGAGTGAAGGGTCCTGGGAGAGACAAGATGACTGCGAAGCTACTGTTCATGTCTACATAAAAGTGCCATGGTTTCTCTACTCATCATAGCTTCTCCCTTCTCCATTCTTTTCTCCATCAAACTTAAATTACAAATTTAGTCTTAAATTTTCTCGAATTTTACCTTTATATAAAAAAACGTTTAGATAGATAAAGGGTATATTAAATTTTTCATATACATAAGGCCAACAAGACATGTTTCGGGACATATGTCATAAAAGGACCTAAGTAAATATCTCCACAATAGGAGCTGTAACTAAAACACGATCGAGACATCCCACATCGGTTGAGAATAGAACAAAGCATTTTTATAAGAGTGTAGAAACCTCTCTCTAGCGTTCAAAAACCTTAAGAAGTTTAAAACAAGAGTTCCCAATATTTATTAGCAGTGGACTTAGGCTGGCTGTCTCGATGAGACAGTAAACTCTAAACTTGTTTTGCATTTTCTTCCATGGAAAATATTAATATTAATTTATTAGTTATATTTTAAAATAAATAAATTTGTGTTTTTTTTTAATTAAAATTACTCTAAACAAATAATTCCCCAAATATTATTTTAGAATAAATGAATGTTTATTCATCAAATAATTCTCACCTAATTCAATTAAAGCTAAGATTTATGGTTTTGTGTTACTTTATAATTTATTGTACTTTGGGTGCCCTAAACAAATAAATTATACATTTGGGGCACCCCAATCTATGCATAAGGATATTACGATACTACCCATGGATAATTGCATACTCACTAGATTTTTGGGGGGCAATATTGGAAAATGTTATTTAGATTATTTTAAGGGCTTTGGGAAATGCAAATATTGAAGAGTGGAATCCACAATTAATAAAGAGTGATTCAAATTATTATTAGTTTTATAAATTTGAGATAAACTCATCATCAAATGGTAGATCATAGGATGGTGGAAATTACCTTAATGCCCTTTTGTCACCAAAAATTGTGGATCATGTGTTTGTTAAAATTACCATAAAGCCCTTTTGTTACCTGATTTGATTAGTTAAATTACAAAAATACCCTTGTGATAGAGCCATAGGGTGCCACATGAAGGAGGGCGAATCAGTCCATTCAATTTTGTTTCGTAATAAAAAAAAATTAAAAATTTTGGGAGGGATCCAAAAGGGTCCAAAAGAAGAGTCAATAAAAGTTGGTCAAAGTGTTGACTCAACTTCTTCCAAGTTTTAAGCCAATTTTCACAACTTTTTCTTTTTTTTTTTAAATATTATATTTTCATATTTTGTTCTAATGTAAGAAAATGTCAAAAAGAGAGGACGGGAGTCCTCAAAGAACTAATCCAGGCATAATGACAGTAGGGTCGTGATAGCCCAACTCTCTCTTTAAGAAGAGTCGTTACTATCTTCATATGCTTTGCAGCTTCATTGAGGTAAGAACAACAATGTTAGTAGCTCGTCTGACCTTCTCAGCATACTTTAACAAATGTCTCTCGAACTATTTTTTTTTTCTTGTATTTTTATACACGTTCAAATGAAATTAAAAAAATGAAAAAATTGTTGAAATTGTACCATACAAATAGTTTATAATTTATTAGAAGTAATTAAAAAATATCCTTTTTAAAAAAAATAAAACCAAAATTAATAAGATATTCGGAATTGTAACACTTTTTTATGTGTAAATTAGATTACAAAATTTATCAAAATTTGAGAGTTAAAAAATTATATATTTAAAAGAAGGGTAAAATGGTCAAATCATAAGAGAGAGAAAGGCATAACCGAGACAGTCGGTCACGTCAGATACGACCCACGGAATCTTCGGGCTCCGTTTTCAGAACTCATTTTAATTTTTTTTTTGTTTTATTTGTTTTATTATTATTATTATTATTTTCCAAAATCTTTTCCTCGTCTGTTTAGTGTTTTTTTAATCATTATAAATAAATAATCAATAATCTAATATAAATATTTTAATTAATTAATTACTTGTAATTAATTTAATAATTTAAATTGTTTTATTAGAAAAATCTAGTTAATAATTTGATATATATATTATTTTATTAGAGTTAAAATTAGATGTGACATATTTGATGGATTTGATATATTTATTTTATAATTTAATTTTTAAAATATTTAGTGAAATTACATTTCGGTCCCTATAGTATACTTAAACCAATTGTAATGCTAGCATATATATATTTATTATTATTTTGAAGTATTATGAATATTATGTAATTATAGTTGGGGACCTTTTCCTTTTAATTTTCTAGTTGGATTTTGCAAGCTTTTTCAACTATGGCTCAATCTCGTTTCAAGGGTCGAATTATAATAAATACGAATTAAGACCGGGCTCTATAATAGAATGATTGACGGTACAGTTTGAATCGACCAAAAATGACGAAAATTTTAACATAGAAAACGATAGGAAACACAATTTATTTGAATAATTCAATGGCGTTCTCTTATTTTTGTTTAAAAGTAACGTTTCGTTGTTTTATTAGAAAGGGCAGATCGTTACATTACCATAAAATATTGTCGTAAATTAATAAGGATTTGTTTAATAACAAAATTTAAAAATTAAATGGTTATTAAAATGGATCTAAATTTTTATATTATATTATTTATTTCTAAATATGTCCTTGAGTACAAAATAATACAAAAGAATCATGAAGCTTATTTAATAATTTAATAAATGAATCGGACGACTCGAATTAGTTCAACTCAAAATTTTTGATTGAATTGGATTGAGTTTATTATTTAATTAGAATTGTTTTTTACCATAATTAGAGTTATTATACTCTCTTACCTATAATAAAATAAAATAATATAATATTTTTCTAATTAAAATATTAAAAAGAAAAAATAAAACCCAAAAGCATTAAACACAAAATACCAAACTTTTAAAATAATTGAGTGTGAGATCCAATTAATAAAATAATAAAGAAAATAATAATTTAACTAATAATAGACAGTTCATTAGTTGTTAGCCATTCATGGGAGGCACCCATCTAAACCTATGTTTTAAATGAGAAGTGTTTCGAACAACTCGAGCATAGGTTTGATTACGAGTTAACTACATATATATAGACCATTTAAGATCTAATTTATCCAAATGTCTAAATTTATTAAAGTAGTTGTGGTATCGAAGATTTGAATTTTCTTTGGTTTTATTAATATTCCGATTAAAAACTTTTTCAACCAAATTTAACTTAAAAAACGCTTAATTTTTCGTGCTTGTGCTACAATTAAGGTTCTCTTTTGATAATTTGTCCACCCACGGATAGCTATAATGTCCTACCATTCTTTATAGTCTTGTAAGGTTTGTTTAACTCTTGGTGCAATTTCCTAATGTTCTTCACCAACAATTCGAGGTTGTAGCATAGTTGATGTTGAATCTAAAAGATCTATTGCTGAATAGATACTTTTGGCAACTGATGCTCTTGATAGTACAATGCTAGCATCCAAATGTGCAAATGTAGTGGCAGAAGAAAGACCTGTTAAATCATTCACAGGTACATAAACTACTTGAATAGAAGTTATGGATCATTCTTCGGTTGTAGTTCTTTTTATGTAAGGAACCCATTTCAATACTAAGAGACGGTAGATAACTCACAGCCAGACATTTTACCTAGTAATACAAACCCACTTGAACAAAATGGAAGATTTTGTCGATAAATAGAAACACGTTTGGTTCATTAAAAAGCATACAAAAACTAAAAATTAAATAGTTGTCGGCAAAAACCTAAACAATAATGGCTGCTTACTTTTGATGGGCAACTTAAAAATGTTGGGTTACAATAAAAGAGCACGATTTGAGAGATATTAACCGCCATTGATGAGCAGCTTCATAAAGTTGAATAATAAACAATAAGCCCACGTAGCAAGTAGGCTATATATTTTGGAGCCTACTATTAGAGGAACCAGTTGGAAGCAGCAATCTAAACAATTTAATGTAGCGCAAGGAAAGCTCCGGCCAAGCTAGCCACCATTTAGGAATCAATCCCAAAACCAACACTGTGACTATGCAGAAGATTGTATAAATATGGAATCTAAGCAAAGTTCGGGTTTCGGTAATAATTTATTTGAACTGTAAACCTAGCTAACTACTTAACGACAACTCAAGACGACAGGGCGGTGGAAAGTTTAGATACATATGGTAACCTGCCTAACTGTACACTGACACCGATCCTAAGTGTAAACAAGGTCAGCTCATTCCTTACTGGACATTTTTAGTAGTTTCTACGTTGTCTTCCTTTTTAGACTTGCTAGATTTCTGGCTATCCAACACTGGCATGTACGCTTCAGTCGTCTTTTTGAAGAGGTCCTCAGCAGCTTTTTCGGGTTCGTGAGGACTGAGTAGACTCTTCTCCACATCTTCGAATTTGGCAGTTGCCCATGGTGCAGTTCCAACGCCCTTTGTAGAATTTGTCGCTGCGTCTATTGTTAGCATGGATAGTTCATCCCTAGAGGCATACCAAGAATGACCACAGGCAATGCACTCCAACTGGCATTGAAAAACCAGGACAATGTTAGCACTACTACATATTGTGGCTAACTCTAGTGTTCTCCAGCTATTTCATTTTATCAAACCAAACTACAAAATCATAACTTATTGGAGAACAATATGTAATGATATAGATCTTATACTACTACTGGTACCATCCGTACCACCGCAGTTGTCTCACTGAGCATAAGTGGTTAAAGCATTTATACCTCCTCCCTACCATCCCATATTCATCTAATTGAAAAAATTAATTTAAAAGAACACACAATATACATGTGAGATCCCACGTCGGTTGGGGAGAAAACGAACATTCTTTATAAGGGTGTGAAAACTTCTCCCTAGCAGACGTGACCGTGAAGGAAAGCCCAAAAGAGAAAGCTCAAAGAGGACAATATCTGCTAGCGGTGGGCTTGAGCCGTTACAAATGGTATCAAAGCCAAACACTGGGCGATGTGCTAGCGAGGAGGCTAAGCCCCAAAGAGGGGTGGACACGAGACAGCGTGCCAGCAAGGACGCTGGGCCTCAAAGAAGGTGGATTGGGAGGTCCCACATTGATTGGAGAAGGGAACGAGTGTAGCGAGGAAGCTAGGCCTCGAAGAAGGGTGGACTGTGAGATCCTACATCGATTGGAAAGAGAACAAAACATTCTTTATAAGGGTTTGGAAACCTCTCCCTAGCAGACACATTTTAAAAACCTTGAGAAGAATCCTGGAAAGGAAAGCCCAAAAAGGACAATATTTGCTAGTGGTGGGCTTGGGCCGTTACAATAAATAAGTATATACTTCACTTCAGCTAGATAAAAGCACTAGTTCTCAAGAGGCAATGCATGCAAAGATAATGCCATATGTCAGGTTGATTTCGTCCAGTCTAAGGCAGAGGAAAATTCAACAAAGAAAGAATAGGACCTTATATCGTTCTCCATGTCCTGTTTGGATGATTTCCCTGACACCCACTTTACATTCTGTGCATCTTGAACACCGAGCATCTGTCATCTGTTTCATCTTATATAGTCATTTACTAAGTGCAAACAAAATGGTAAATGAAATGAGAAGGGAGAAATGGAGAAAAGAAGCTGACCTGCATACGCTCAGATTCATCAGGCTCTTTATTTGCAGCTGTCTCCTCAGCAGTCAGTCCTTCCTGTAATGAACAATTACAGTAACTTCTACTTACTTGGTTTGCAAATATATGTGCGTCCACACATACTAAAGAGTAGAAAGAGTTATGCAGCTCATGCCCATAGGCAAATCAACACGTACATATGTTTCTAAAGAGTTGAGATCGAGGCAAATAAAAGTTTCAAATTATAAAACTGTAGTCTGAATAGCATCTACGATGATAGCCATGAAAATGATACAGAATGGACAGGGCATCCTGGGCTGTATAAAATTTTGAACTTGGAAGCCACAGTCTATGCACAAATGTTATGTTTTTGTTCTTCATTTAAGAAGGTGCTCATCAGTTCTCTTTCTGTACCCACTTATTTCTCCCTCAAATTCTTCTCCTATTGATTCTCTCTCACAATTTTATGACAGATTGATTTTTTAATTCTGGTATTTTAAGTTTTTGTTTCTCTCGTATTATAATGTAACTTAATTGAAAAAAGTTCAAACAACTCCTAAATGGAAATTTCTTTTTATGAGAAATCATACTGTAATCAAGAAAAATGAAAGAAAAAGAATTCAATTTGTGGATAAGACACAAAAGATAGTCATAAAACTCCTTAATCACAGACACCCAAGGCAGATATTGAACCTAGCCATAGAGCTCACCCCTCTCCAAGGACTCTCGACCTCTCTAAATACTCTTCTTTTTCTTTCTTACCAAATGTTCCACAAGTTAGCAAAGAGGTTGCATACCACAGGGTTCCTCTCTTGTCCTTAAAAGAGTAGATGAAACAACGTCTCATCCAACATCTGGACATAAGCTTTCATGATAGTTCATTGGAGGTTGTGCAATTCCCAACCCCCCCCCCCCCCCCCCCCCCCCCCC